GGGCAGGGAGTGTGGTGCCCTCTGCTGACCCTCTTGGGGTCCTCCTGACCAACTGATTCCAAAGCCAGCTTGGAGGAAAACAAGGGAGTAAAGAGCAGAAGCTCTGGGAGAGTGTGCGCAGTGATTTTATGGCACATCTTGCAGCAGGGAGCAGACAGGGACGCAGTATTCATGGCTGCATGAGCCTCCTGCTGCTCTTGCTGCAGGGCTACTTTTCAGAGAAGGAAATGGAGGCTCTGAGAGGCAGTGGCATGGGGTTAAGTGGCAGAGCCAAGTTAGGGCCAGGCCCTGCCTAACTCCAAAGCCAGGGCGTTTCTCACCTTTTGAGAGTAGCATGGAAATCCCCACACAGGAACCTATGCGCCCGGCCACACATCTGGCAAAGAGCAAAAGGTGGTCAGGGCCTGTGGGCCCTGGATTCGCCCCCAAGATGAGGCCCAGGCTGCTTCCTGCGCTGGTCCTGAGAAGGGCCTGACGAACGGGCACGGACATTCCCTGGGATGCTCAGTGGCTGCCAGTTGAGAGCACAATCACAGGGTATGGGCCACTGGATGGCACGGCGTTCCATGGGAGACAAGTCAGCAATGAGCCAGCTGACAACAGGGATGTCTGAGAAACCTGGACCTTCGAGGTAGCCAGCCTCAGGAACTCACTCCTGAGAGAACTGATGGGAGGCCAGACAGGGCAGCCAGTGAGGAAGGACACTATCTGTGGGGCAGTGGAGGTCAGTGAAGGACAGTCGCAGTGGCCACCTCCCTCAGGAGGGAGGACTGAGCAGGAGCTGAGGACAACCACAGATCACCTGGCCCTGCGTGCTCCCTGATGCACCGTCACTGCCAGCACAGCTCCCCTCTCTGCCAGGACCCCCTCACAGAGGAGCTGCCACCCCCGACCTCTCTCGCAGATCCTGGTCTGGGGGCTCCGCAACATGAGGCAAGTGCGTTCCCCCCAGCTGCTGGTGGAGTGCTGGGAAGAGGCCGGGCACACAGAGCCCATCAGGAACTTCCAGACCAACCCCAACTTTGCCGAGTCGGTCATCTTCTTCACACTGGTAAGAAGGCCCCACGCAAGGGCTGGGCTGCCTGCTCCTGGAGTGAAGCCTCACGGGGCCTCTCTCTGGGCTGCAGTTCATGCCCACAGAGGAGGCCTACGCGCTGCCCCTCATGTTGAAGGTGGTGGACAATCAGGACTTCGGCCAGCAGACTGTGGTGGGTCAGGCCAACATCGACTCCCTGCACCCCTACTTCTGTGACCCCTGGGCCTCAAACTATGTGCCCCCACGGCTTCCAAGTAAGCCTCCTGGCCCTTCTCCAGGCCTCACCAACAAGCCTGCATGGGGAGGGACAAGGTCCTCCCCCTGTCCCTCCCCTCTCCTGAGATTCATGATTATACTTTCTCCACAGAGCTGGCAGTGAACAAGCGCCAGGTAAGGAATAAGCTTGAGGTCCCACTTTCTTCCACACCATTTCCAGGACACAGCCCTTGTCAGAGGGGCTCTGCTCCCTGTGCCCCCTGCATGAGGCTAATTGTACACAAAAACTCTAAAGCAGTGATTCTCAACTCGGACTGTACATTCAAATTGCCTGAGAGTTTAAAAAAATTCTGAGCGTCAGGCCAATGACCAACTCCATCAGAATCTCTGGGGGCAGGACCCAGGTGTCAGCATTTTTTTCAAGAGCCCCCCCCTCCCCCCGCCCCCTGGGGTGATTACAATGTTCTCAGGCTCAGACCTACTGCTCTAGAGCAGAGCTTGTCACACTTGAACTCACAGGACTCCTTGGGACCTCTGAGTCAGGAGGTCTGGGGTGGGGCCTGAGGTCCTGCCATTCTGAGCCCTTCAAATTTGGTCTGAAGCTGTGGGCAATGAGAAGTAGGAACTGGGCTCACTCTCCTTGCCCCAGTCTCACGTCTGAAGACCTCTAATGAAAGGCCTGTGGGCTGCCTGGCTACGCCTGACTCACCCCCTCTCCTTTCTCAGCTCCTAGATTACTTCACTGAAAAGTTCTGGTTCAAGTCCAGCGAAGTCGAGGTGATGTGGGCTCAGCCCTGGGGAACAAGAAGCAACTCCCGGCGGCTTGGGAGGTGGGGGTAGCGCGAGCCTGGGCAGAGAAGGGCCAACTGCCCCTCGTCCCAGCCAGGATGAATACGAGGAGGTGGTGGACTGGTGGAGCAAGCTGTTCTGGGCCACAGGGGAAGCCAAATCCCTGAAGTTCAAGGACAAAGACTACCACACCCTGGAGGTTTGGAAGCCCCCAGGAGGGAGGCTGCTGAGGTGGAATAAAACCTGCTGGGAAGGCCAGCAGACCTAGCCCTGATTCCCCTGGGAAGCACCAAGGTGTGGGGGAGCTTCCTCACTGCCACCCCACTCCAGGCCACACCTCTACCACGCTCACCCATTCAGGGACCAAGGCTGCCCGGGCCAAAGGAGGCAGTGCTGACCCTGGGACTGCTAACTGGGCAGACACTTGGGGGACAAGACCTGGGAGCTGGTGGTCCCTCAATCCCCCATCCCAGGAAAGACCGCCTCTGGCCAAGCCCAGGCCTGCTCCCCAGCAGCCTGGGTCCCCCGCACCCTCCTGCAGGTGTACGACTGCGAGCTGGAGGCTGTGCCAGCCTTCCGAGGCCTGCAGGACTTCTGCGAGACCTTCAAACTCTACAAGGAACAGCCCAAGTCAGACAGCCCCGTGGTAGGGGAGTTCAAGGTGCGTGTCTAGCGGGTTTAGCTGCCCTGTCTCCTTAAGCTCCTCCTGTCCCCAGAAGACTCTAATAAAAGCCCTGGCTCTATATGCCCCTTATAGGATGGGACAGGGAGGGCTTGAAAACCCATTTTTGGAAGTGGGGAAGCAGAGGCTGACCTCTGCAGGGGTTCAGAGTGACTCCCCTTGCACAGGAAGGGTGAGGGCCTTCTCATCCCGGCTCTGGCCTATACTGGTTCCCCGAGGCCGGAGAGCCTTCGAGGAGGAGTTCAAACCTGAAGGGGCTGGGGCTGGGATGGGAATTCACATCAGCAGAATGGGGATCACCTGGCGAGCACAGTTCCTTTGCCCAGCGCCCTCCTACACAGGGTGGTCCCTGAAGAGCATCTCTGCTGCACCTGCCTCTACCCATCCTTGTGGCCCTGCCATCCTCACACAACCCACTCTCCTGAGCTTGGACCAGGGCCCCTCCGGGAGGGTTCTATAGAGTCGGCTGCCAACACTAATCTCCCCAACACACGCACAGGGCCTTTTCCGCGTCTACCCCTTTCCTGAGAACCCAGAAGACCCTCAGCCCCCCCGCCAATTCTCGGTTTGGCCTGGTAAAGAGGACTTCCCTCAGCAATGCTTGGTGCGGGTGTACGTGGTACGAGCAATCAACCTGCAGCCTCAAGACTACAATGGCCTGGTAACGAGCAGCCCCAAACCTGCAATGCCCATCGTCCAGGGCTCCACCCAGCCCAGGCACCTCCCATACCCTACCCTAAACCCTGTGTCTGGGAGCTCCCTCAGGCTGCTGCCACCCACACTGCCACCTCCCCACAGGCTCCATCTGGTGCAAGGGGCTCATTTCTGCCCCACTCCTGCCCTCCCTGACCAACCTAGACTGACTCCCTATTTCCTGTCCTTCCCTCACTTGTGCCTAACCCCCAGTGTGACCCTTACGTGATCCTGAAACTGGGACAGACAAAACTTGGCAACCGGAACATGTACCAGCCCAACACTTTGAATCCCATCTTTGGCATGTGAGCTGCCCAACTTGCCCAACCCCACTCTCCACTCCCATCCACACAGTGCCAGCAGAAAGCTCCAGGAGCAAAGAACTTGCATTCCTTTCTAGCCGCCTAATTCCTAGCATGGAGTCTTATGCACTAATGGAAGATGAATGGGTGGGCAGCACAGTTCTACCCTCTCTCTCACACGCTTTGTTTGGGAAGGGAGCTGAGTTCCACACCCAGGTCTATCAACAGTTACTTCCTGACATACAGGGGGATGGTTATTGGCAGACAACAGTCATCCAGGCTCTGGTCTCCAAAGTCACCGGGCAAACCAGGGGTTGGAGCATGGCCCATGGGGCAGAGGTGCTAGAGGGGAAGCATGTAGGTAACATGGTGGTGGTCCTGTAGTCTCCAACACCCTCCCACCAGGATGTTTGAACTGAGCTGCACCATCCCCCTGGAGAAGGACCTAGAGATTGAGCTGTATGACTTTGACCTGCTTTCACCTGATGATAAGATTGGAGCCACAGTAATTGACCTCGAAAACCGACTCCTGTCTGGCTTCGGAGCTCGCTGTGGGCTCTCCCAATCATACTGCCAGTAAGAGTGTACCTGACCAAGGGCAAGGACATAGAGAAGGGTGGAGTGAGCCCACAGCCCCCTTCCAAGAGGCCTGCATCCTGAGTTGGAGAACTGGGGCCTGAACCTGTCTTCCCCAGCCCCTACACTGGGCATCCTGCAGCTGAAAGCAGCATACTCTGCAGGACCCACACCCTTCCTCTCACATATCCCCGCAGGGCAGGACCCTTTAGGTGGCGGGATCAGGTGCTCCCAAGCGTCCTCCTGGAACACCATGCCAAACGGAAAGGGTTGCCTCCACCTGTGTTCAACACTGCGGGTGACTCTGTTTATTACAATGGGAAAAAATTCAAGCTGCGACGCTTTGGTGAGAAGCACTGTACACACTGCCAGAAAGCACAGGCCCAGGCCTCAGAAACCAGGGAGGCTCCAGGAGGGAGGAGCCACAGAGGGCATGGCACCCCTTTCCCCTTCCTCCTGTAGAGGGCAACCATGGCTACTGTCTAGGCTGGGCACCAGGAAGGTGGGGGCCTACCTGGGAGAGGGGGAGGCTAATGACCTCAGGATCCTCTCCTGTCCCCTTCCAATCTAGAGCCCCAGCCCCCTACTGCTCATTACTTGGGACCCAAGAAGGAGCGCCTTGCACTGCACCTCCTACACACCCAGGGGCTGGTACCCGAGCACGTGGAGACCCGCATGCTGTACAGCAACAGCCAGCCAGGCATTAACCAGGTACGAGGCTGGAGGGTCTGGAGTGGGAGACAGGTGCACACCCATCCAGGACAGAGCCTAGGAGGGTAAGGAGAGGCTGGGCATTCAGAGACATACATGGGCAGGAGACATGCACTGCCTGCAGGTAATGAGCAAGAAGCCCCAGTGACACCTGAGGACGGAGAGATTCAGAGATGGAAAAGTCATGTTCAGGAAAGCGAGGCTGTGCGTCCACTGCAGGACGTGCTGAGGTGCCCTAGCAGCCAAGGCCAAGCCTGCCCGCAGTCTCTCCTGAGGGAGGGCAGGCCAGCAGCTCCAGGCGCGGTGTGCAGACATCACAAACCTGGTCTGACTGTTAACCTCAGGATCCCGGAACAGAAGGAAGCAAACCCCCACAGGCCCCTATTATCACCCACCCTCTACCTGCCAGAATGCTCACTTCCTTCTTCACATTTCTCAGGCTAATGCCACGTTCTAGACACAAAGTTCTCTGCTGAGCATTTTTTAAAAAGCATTCTCATTAAACCTATTTTCTAAAAAAAAAAAAAAAAAAAGTTAAAAATTAGGTCAACTTCAAAAAAATAAAAATTACATCAGATAGTTTAAAAGAATATATATTTATTCCAGCGTTGGCAGCTCTGCTCCACCCTCTTTTTTCTCACCAGTTTCATTTCTCTTAGACCTCTGTGCTCTGTGGATAGCTTCATATCCCTGGGATATGCTTACATACCCTAAAACAATCTGGAAATCTGGACTGGAAACTTCGATCACTCTGATTCACTAAGCTGGTTAATAAATAAATCCCCAAGCCCATTCTGGAGCCCTCCAGAAACTTCTAGCATCACCTGCTAAATGGCATTAACCCTCCAGACCCCAGTTACAAGTGATGCCCCAGTCCCATGACCATCAGCCTCAAAGCCATCATACCTCCCAACCCGATGCACTATTCTCCCAGGCAAAAACAGGAAAAGGGGAAGCTGGTGGGTGGCCGCCTGACTTCCTGTCTGAAGTCTTTCCACCTCAGAGACTGTCCCCCCATCTCTCAGTGCTGAGAACATGGCCTCAGCAGACCTGAGCACCTGGAACAGGGCTGAGGACAAGGGCAAGGAACCCCTGCCAGCTAACCTATCTCTGCTCTAGGGAAAGGTGCAAATGTGGGTGGACATCTTCCCCAAGAAACTGGGGCCTCCTGGCTCCCCAGTCAACATCCTGCCCAGGCAGCCTAAAAGGTGAGTGTGGGCTCACTTCCTTACCTCCACACTTCCCGGGCGGCCTTTCCAGGGGTGGGCACCAGTGCACTCAGTACTGAGTAGCAGGCATGCTTTCCTCTGCTGGGAATCCTGGGGCTCCTTTCCCGAGTCCCACCAGTACAGCAGGAGTGTGGGCATGGAGGGCGGCCACCCAGGCTGCCACTGGGGAGCAAGTCCTTGGCACAGCCTCAGAGTGCCGTGGCTGCAGGTATGAGCTGCGCTGCATCATCTGGAGAACTGCTCACGTAGACCTGAAGAGCATCAATTTGAGTAACGAGAAGATGAGTGACATCTACATCAAAGGGTGAGCAGAGGAGCAGACTCCAGCAGAGTTCCCCAAGTCCCCATTTCTAGCTTTCCTGTGGGTCCTCCTTGTCCTGGGTGACATCTCTCCACTTCCACTGCACCTGGTGTCTGCTGGTGGCCCTTCATACAGGGCTCCAGCTCCAGGATGGGGACAGTGCACATGAACCCCAGGTGAGAGGACTCTGACCCCAGGTGGTTATTCGGGCTAGAGAAGGACATGCAGAAGACAGATATCCACTACCAATGCCTGACTGGGGAGGGCAGCTTCAACTGGCGGTTCATCTTCACCTTCGACTACCTGGTGGCTGAGCAAATGTGCGTCCTAAGCGAGAAGGTAATGAATGTGGAGGTGGGCTTCTCTTCCTGTTCCTCCCTTTGGAGACTTGCAGCTGCACCAGAACCCTTGGAATGAGGCCTCAGGCGGAAGCCCTCTTCCTTGACAGTCCATCACGCTGGGAAGTGGGGTCCTAAGATGGCTGAGGGGACTCTCCCAGAAAGTGGCAGTGACACGCTCCTCTGCCATCCTTCAGGACTACATATGGAGCCTGGACCCCACAGTGACGAAGTTTCCGGCCCGGCTCATCATTCAGGTCTGGGACAATGACATCTTCTCCACTGATGGCTTCCTAGGTGAGATCCTGGCCTAGGGCCCATGACCTCAGGATAGGGAGTTCCCTCTTGCTGATGGCATTTCTCTGGCTCAGGGGTCCTGGAGCTGGATCTGTCTGACATGCCCCTCCCGGCCCAGCATGCAAAGCTGTGCTCCCTCAAGATGATGGATGCAGACCCCAAGTGGCCCCACTTCCTCCAGCACAAGTACTTCTCCCTCTTTAAGAAGAAAACTGTAACCGGCTGGTGGCCCTGCCAGGTCCTTGAGGATGGCAAATGGCACTTGTCGGTAGGAGCACAGGACTGCTGTGCCCCATCACTGTTCTAATTGACTCCTGGGGGCCTTATCTAAATTCCCTTTCCTTTGTGGATTTAGGAGGAGGCTCCTGCTACCCTAACTCAGCCCCCCACCCCCTGCTGTGTTTCCAGGGTAAAGTGAAGATGACGCTGGAGATGCTGTCAGAGAAGGAAGCCTTAATCAGGCCAGCAGGACGTGGCCACTCAGAACCCAACCAGTACCCTATCCTCCACCCTCCCCTGTAAGGGTCCTTCTCCATAAAGCTGAGCTGCTGGGACTGGCAATATACTAGGGGTGGTGATCGGGAGGCCTACAAGTGGAGGGGTAATTACTTCCTGCCACCTCAGCTCAATGCTGCAACAACCAGGAGAGAACAGTCATGGGGGTGGGGGGGCAGAAGTTGCTNTAACAATCAGGAGAGAACACTCATGGGGGTGGGGGGACAGAAGTTGCTTTTGAAAAAGAAAGGGCTTTGCTGTGGAAGACTTGACCTGAAGGTCCCCTCTGCCCTCCATTCTCGGACATCAACTCTGCTCATGGACAGGCGCACCAACACCTTGCTCTCATGGTTTCAGTCACCTGTTAAAAACTTCTGCTATGTTTTCTGGAAACGCTACCGCATTAAAATCATAGTCATCTCAGCCATAACGATTGTCGGGTATATGCTGTTCAGCTTCATATATTCAGCTCCAGTAAGTGACAACCATGGGGATAGGGACAGGGACAAAGGCACTGGTTGCTCTTGGGCTGCCTCTGGAGAGAGGCTTCTGGTTGCTACCTTCAGCTGACTGTTGCCTGTTTTTTCTAGAAATATTTGGCCATGAGCTGGATCAAACCTGAGTTTCGGCTGAAGGCGCCTATTAATACCATCAATTCACTGAAGAGCAATGCCAGCTCTTCCGACCTCACCATCCGGCATCCGAACCTGGAGTCTACAATAGGCAGTCAGCTGAAACTCCTGCAGGAACCCATGAATCACCTTTGAGCTATTTTTACAGAACTTCCAGCCCCACAAGGCTGATCTGCCCATGTGTGCCTGGCTTTTCTTTGCCACTGTCAGCTCTACCCTGGAGCTTCCTGCCAATTCCTTGTTTCTATCTTCTAGGACAGCAAGGGGCTAGGGATATTCTGGCCATTCTGTTCAGAAACCACTTCCAGCAAAAAAGGCAAAGTTGTAATTTTCCACTGAAATAAACAAGCTTTGTAACAAAGCCGCTTTGTAATTTGGGGGGGTTGAAGACCATATGAAAGGTTGAACATGCCAGCCTTTCGGACAAGACTCACAGGACAGGAAGCAGTGACTCTCTCCTTTCTGCACTACCTCCAGTCTTCAGTCTCTTCCACTCTAAGGGGCTCTGAAGTCAGAGGAAAACAGAGGGAAAGGGTGGCAGTGAGGAGAGAAATGGCTCCATGGGGTAAGTAGCGGGAGCCACACCAAGAACCAGGCACTGCCCTTCTCTAGGACAAACCTGGGGTCTCAGTGCCCAGAACAATATTCAGCCCCATTCACGGTAGGAAACATTTGTTTCTAAGACAAAATACAAGAGCTAGGACAGAACACACCATGTTTGGTCAGATGGCTTCCTTGTACCACACATCTCTAAGGCAGCCCAGGCTGGGTGGGGACTGCATTTCATGTCTTCCCTGTCCTCTTTAAAGAGCCTCAAGGTGCTCATGAGCTGAAATCACACAAAACCCACAAGTTTGAGCTCTGTCACTCACATGCTCCCCTCAAGAGGAAACCCCCCCTCTCCACCACTGCCTAGGCCATCTCAAGAGCCCACCAACGTCCTCCCACCACAGGGGTCTATCCAATCTTCCCTTGAACTCAAAGATGACAAAAGAACCACTTGCTTTTTTCAGTTCTCCTTGGTCTTAAGGCTGAGCTCTAGACCAGTCCGTCCTCTGGCACTCTGGAGCTGCTCTGCTATTGTAGGGAAGGGGTTAAGAGAATCCCACCTTAATCCCACCTGCAGAATATTACAGCCCATGATGCTTAATTAAGCACCTGGGAAGGCTATAAGGCGGCCCGAGAGGACAGAGACCCATACCCAGCCAAGGTGACCCTTTCTTTCTGGATTGAGCTGAGGATTTCCCAAATGAGAAGGCAGAGCAAGGACAGGCTCCATAAAAAGGCCTAAAGCCTCCCCGCAAACCCACCCCTAGAAGGAAGAACACTGGGTCAGAAGCTCATTTGGTTTCCATCAGCCATTTTACAGATTTCCCTTAGGCTACAGCAGTACACAGCTAGGAGAGCTCAGTTCTGGGCCCTCTATTGGCCAGTTTCATCATGGGCAGACAGGTGAGCAGAGCAGTGTGTGACCCCTTGTCCAATAAGGCAGGGGTGGGGAACATCTGGCCCTTAGATACAGCCCTCGAAATCTAGCCCTGCCAAGCCCTCACCAAAGAGAAGCAGTTCCAGCCGTCACATTAACGGTGAGTTTATTAAATGTTTGACCAAATATAGCAGGCTAATTTTTAAATTGATAATTTTGTATGGCCCGCGAATGATGTTATAAATATCCAAATGGCCCCTTGGCAGAAAAAAGGTTCCCCACCCCTGCAATAAGGCAACAGAATAAGGGCTGACCCCTGGAGGATGACACTCAGGCTCTATTGCTCAATGACAATGAACTCTTCCAGGCAGATGACGACGGCCTATTGACCTCAGTTTTGCAACATGGGAACAGCAACTGTTTCTTATCCATTAAGAAAAAGAATCCAGATTTCCTCCTGGGGAGTATCCAGGGCAAGGCTATAAGAAAAAGTTTTCTTACATTCTGAACAAAGTGGGATTCCAAAGATCATGACAGACACAAAACATGCAGCTAAGCAGGCTCCAGATGGTCCACGTGGTCGGATCACTCAACAAATGTTGCTTTTGGTATCAAATCCTGGAGCAGATCAGTGTCACAGTTAATCCCACTGCATCCATGAGATCTCCCAAGCTTCTCTTGACTTGCACACCAACTTCCAGCCAAAGAAGACTGAGGGCTGAATGGTACCTAATTGGGAAGGTCACAAACACGCCAACAAAACCAGGATCCACACTGACAAGCAAAGGCTAGAGCAGTGAGCCAAAACAGAAAGCTCTCTCCCTGCAGACACCTAATGAGGGTCAGTGCAACATGCTTGTTCCACAGCCCCGGCCCCAACACAGAGGCATCAAATGTCTTTTCAAGCTCAGGCTGCACGTGGAGAGGACAATAAAAGGAGGGGAGGAAGGTGAGGCGGGGAAGAAGTTTCCACCCAGACTTCCAAGGAGAACTCCGCAGGTGGACAGAGGCTTAGACAAAAAGCAAAAACCAAGGAAGGTATGAGGAGTTATCAGTTTTCCATTCTTTGCAAATTTAAATGAGAAGCATGGGGGTCCTGAGTCCAACACCAAGGCATCCTGGGCTATTAAGTTCTTTTCTGTGATCTTGGCCTCATACCAGCAGATACTGTCTTCACCCTCTGAGCTCCCAGTGGACAGACTGCAGGGAAAGGCACATCACAGCAGCATTGCCCTAGGGTGGGTGGGTTTCCTGAACCAGAGTCAGAGGTCCTCATGTATGACCATGGAAATACAGTGTCCCTGCATTCAAAGCTCCAGGGACAGGACGCAGTCCATGACTAGCTGTTGGAGAATGGAGAAGACCACTGGGCTGTGTGGTCAGGCCAGCGCCTGCTCCTCCTACATCTCATGGTGACAGCCACAATGGGGGTGGCAGCAGGAAGACTCAGTAGAAACGCTTCCGGCTCTGTTCCTGCCACTTGTTGTAGAGTATGATCCCAATGACAACGGCAAACACAGAAAACACCAGAGAGAAGAACACGATGAGGAAGAGGGCCAGGCCACTCAGGGGCGGCAGCGGGGCTGTCACTAAGGAAGCCAGAGAGAAAAGCAAGTCAGCACCCGGGAGCCTACCCCACTGGGAAAGACCACCCAACAAGCTACAAGCCTCCAGGTTCTGATGCCCATTTCTGCGAGCCAGAGCTCAGACTCTCCCTTTCCAAATGCTTTAATTGGAAAATGAAGACGCCGCCTCCTGCTCATCTTTAACCTGGAGACAAGTGACAAGCAGCTGTCAGTGCTCCATATTCCTCAGGGGAAGGACAGAGAGGAGACAGCCCTGCGAGCTGTGGGTGTGCAGGTCCCTCAGCCCTCCCCCAGGACTGCGACCCCTCTGCCACTGTGGGCCATTTTTCCCAGGGTCCCCATGCTCACTCTCAGGCAGCTTCATGTTGTCCACCGAGGGCAAGAACACATCTCGATGCAGCTTCTCCTCTTCTGGGGTTCTCTCCACTGTCAGCTCAAATAGCTTCAGGGAAACAATGTCATGGTTGTCTAAAGGAAAAAGAACAAGGACTGCTCATGGCCCCTCAAAAAGAGGTATCTTGCAGTATCTTGGCTTAAGCTTCCGATTCCACAGCTAACTAGCAGTGACCTTGAAAAAATAACTGCAACCTCTGTTTTCTAATCTAAAAATAAGGATAAGGGCCTTAGTTGGTTTGGCCCAGTGGTTAGAGCATTGGCCAGCAGACTGAAGGGTCCCGGGTTTGATTCCAGTCAAGGGTACGTGCCTTCGGTTGCAGGCTAGATCCCAGGCCTCTATCTGGGCATGTGAGAGAGGGATCAAGTCAATGTGTCTCTCTCACATTGATGTTTCCTTCTATCTGCCCCCCCTTCCATTCTCTCTGAAAAGCAATGGAAAAAAATATCCTTGGGTGAGGATTAAAAAATAATAATAAAATAAGAATAAGGAACTGAAATATTCTATATTATTCCGTATTGAAAGTTTTTAGCAAAAGTGTGCATTACCACGATTAAAAATTTTAGAGAAAATACAAGAATGAAATCCCCTATGATACGTAAAACTTTCCAGCACAGTGAGAGGAGACTCAGCAGCACTTCAGCTTCCCTTTGATGGGAACACACACACAAGATAGGAAAGGGCCTCACGGCAGTGGTGTGATGGCTGCAAGCAGAGCACAGCCACGGGCATGGACCAACACATTTCCCTTCCTGACTGGGCCTAATGCTTTGCGGCTCCTTACAACTGTGACCCTGTATCTTACTAACGATTACCGGAGAAAGGATCAAAGAATTAGGGACTCTAATTTCTCTCTTTTTAAAGCATCATTTCATGTGTTTCAATACACTAAGGTTGTACATCTTACTGATGCTCAAGTCTACCCATTTTGGTCCAGTGGGAGCCTATTCAACGTGGCTTCTCAGTCTTTTTACATGAACCCAGAAATTTTTAAAGACATTTAAAATTTTTTTATTTTATTGATTTTTTTTTTAGAGAGAGAGGAAGGAGAGGAAGAGAGAAACATGGATGTGAGAGCACGCTCCCTACTGGGATGGAGCCCACAACACAGGCATGTGCCCTGACTGGGAATCAAACCGGCAACCTTTCAGTACACGGGACAACACTCAACCAGCTGAGCCATCCAGCCAGGGCCCAGCGTTTTTGATAGCTTCCTTGCTTTTCTGGGAAGTTTCCACTTGTACACATCTTGCCATAGATCTGCCATTTCTCCAAGAAGCTCTTCTTCCTCTCAGTGGAGGCTGTTATTAAAATATTTTTAAAAAATATGTCTTACCCGGCCGGGCGTGGCTCAGCGGTTGAGCCAGGATCCAGGTCGACCTAGGATCCAGGTGATCGGGGTTCGATTCCAGATCAGGGCACATGCCCGGGTTGCAGGCTCAACCAATGACTCATCATTCATGTTT